CCACCTTAGGTGTACGTGGCTGGCGCCTTAGCCGCTTGAGCCACAGGCGCCGAGCCAAGGAAAGTCTTAATAACAATGTAGTTATGACCTACAATACAATTCTAATGGCTGTGCCTCCACTCAGTTGAGTGGGGTCCTGTGGGCATCCTTTGTCTCTTTTCTGAGTAATATTTGTGTGTGAAACCGAGAACTGAAAAGAATAAAAAGTCCAAAAGCCTCTGTCTCAAAGAAAGGTCTTCACATTTTCGTCATGTACTATTTCATGACGAAAAGAAATTGCGGCCAAGTCAAAGTCTCAGGAAGGCTATAGGCTTGCCCCGTGTGCATTGCCCTGGAGAAGGTCGACCTGTGTGGACTGTATGTGCGTCAACTGACTCTCTTCCCCTCCAGCTTGCAGTCGGGGGCAAGCAATGGGAAGAACCTGTATATTTGCCGTTCCTTAGATAGACTCTTCCTTTCTTCTTGAAGATCCAAGTTTTCACTTTATGCCACTTCCCTTTTGCTTAAGATTTTTTGTTATTATTTCTTTTAGTAAAGGTCTACTGGTAGTAAATTATCATTTTTTTCTTAATTGAAAAATGTCTTTATTTTTGCCTTCATTCGAGAAGAATATTTTTACAGGGCATAGGATTCTATATTGGCAATATTTTTGCCTTTAGCACTTAATGGGTGCCATTCCTCTTTTAGCTTCTGTTGTTTCTGATGCTAAGTCTCTAGTCATTTTTTCATTGCTGTAAGTGTTTTGTTTTTTCTCTGATTGTTTTCAAGACTTTTGCTTTCTTTCTTTTCTTTTCTTGAGACAGAGTTGCCCTGTGGTTGAGTATTGTGGTGTCATAGCGCACAGCAACCTCAAACTCGTGGGTTCAGTGATCCTTTTGGCTCAGCCTCCTGAGTAGCTGGGACTATAGGCCCCCCCCACACACACACACAATGCCTGCCTATTTTTTTTTAAGAGATGGGGGTCTCCTTTTTACTCAGGCTGGCCTCAAACTCCTGACCTCAGGCAATCTACCTGCCTCGGCCTCTCAGAGTGCTAGGATTATAGGCGTAACCCCCACCAGGGTGCCCATCCAAGATTTTTTATTACTTTTTATTTGGCAGTTGATTCTAATGTGTCAAGATGTAACTTTTTTTGTTTGCTTTTATTTGCCTTAGGTTTTGCACAAT